CCCACACACACACACACACACCCACACACACACACACCCACACCCACACCCACACCCACACCCACACACACCCACACACATCAGGGGTCTTGCCAGCTATACTTAAGTGTGGTGGGACTGCCATGCTTGGGCGAAAAAAAAAAACCGAATGACCACCACGCTTAGGCAAAATAAGTGAAGATTGCACCATGCTTAAAATGTTAGCGCCACGCTGAAAAATTATGCATTAAGTATATTTTATTCAAAACGTTACAGCAATGAATATCAAACTATCGAAGTAGGCATTGTCGGTGAAGTATTAGCGCCATCTAAGGTGGTTTTGAATTAAACAGTTCGTTACACGAAATAGGTGTCGATTAATGTACTCATTTCACATGGTGTCAGAAAAGGGATAAATTGGAGCCAAGATGGACAAAATAGATCCACCAAAGGCCTTATCTCTTGAAGGAAACCCAGCGGAAAACTACAGATGGTTTATCCTAAGATTTAAGCTGTATATGAAGGCGACAGGGAAGGACAAAAAATCATTTCTCACCCTGATAGGTGATGATGGGCTCAGGGTATACAACATGTTTACGTGGGATCAGTCCGGAGAAGGCAATAAGCTCAAGAAAGTGGAAGAAAAGTTCAAGGAACACTGTTACACCTCGCAAGCTTTCAATAGATATCAGTTTTTTAAAAGACAACAAAAAGACGGAGAAACAATTAATCATTATGTCACTGCTCTAAAAACACTCGCTAAAGACTGTGAGTTTGAGAATTTATCTGAAAGTTTGATCAGAGACGCGCTAGTATTTGGAGTGCAAAGCTACGTGCTGTGTGACCAGATGTTAAGGGTCAAGGATCTAGATCTCAAACTAGCAATTGACACATGTAGAGCTGCTGAATCAAGTAAGTCTCTGTTGGCAAAAGTTAAAGGGGACGACTCAGAAAGTGATCCAGGGGCACTAGTTCATAAAATTTAAATAAAGAAGAAAACTTGACCTAGATACAATAACACTACAAGTTCAGCTGCTAGTACTAGTAGAAAGCATAATGGTAAATCATGTAGGAGATATGGATTAACACACAATCCCAAGCATTGTCCTGCATATGGTAAAACTTGTCACAAATGCAACAAAATGAATCATTATTCAAAACGTTGCAAAACCGAAATGGTGAACACAGTGGCAATGCATAGGCCTAATAGCGATGGAGCTAGCATACATGAAACACTGACAGAGAAACTGTTCATATCTTTAGTAGAAAATAACACAGAGCCAGACGACAAAGAAAATGATGATGATTGGTATGTGAAAGTAAAGGTAAATAAAAAACCTTTAAAATTAAAGATTGACAATGGTGCACAAGCAGACATAATCTCGCATGCTACTTTAATGAGTTTCAAATGTAATCTAAGGATTAGAGACAGCAAAATAAAATAAAATTATCTACATACAGCAGGGAAAACATTCCAGTGAAGGGTAAGTGTACTTTGAAAATTACACATAGAAGGCATTGTTATAAAGTAGATTTTGTTGTTGTGGAGAAAGGCCAAGACATAATTGGTTGTAAATCTGCTGTTCATTTGAATCTGAATCACCAAGAAAAATACCGTTCATGATGGAAGGCAAACTTAAGACGGAACTTGATATGAATTAATGTGGGAATTTGAATATTTTCATAACATGAATTACATTGTGTAAAACAGTATTTCTAGCA